GGTAGCTGACGAAGAGCGGCTGGGTGGCCAGGCCCAGGGCCTGCGTCACCTGCAACCACCGGCAACCAGGAGTTAGGGACGGACGGACACACGCGGAATTTTGACGCTGGATGTACAAAACGTGATTTGTGCGCCAGCTCCCCGGGCCCCTGCCGCCCTCACGCTTGGTTTCCAGCTGGACGTGGCGTTCGGAGGGGCTCGGCAGCAGTCGCAGTCGTGCTGCGCCATTTCGGAGGAGCACGGGCCAGCGCCCGAACGGCTCCAACCCCAGCAAGCGTCTGGCTGGTGCTGGTGTAGAAAATAGCTGTCCCTTTATTCCTTTTTTCTCCACCCCCCCCCTTTCCACTAAAAAGAGAGGGATGCAAGGAGCGACTGCTGCAGGGACGTCTGCGGGGACAAATGTGAAATGCGCCAAGTGTAACGCGACTTCACGAACTGCTTTTAGCCCACAATATCTACTGAACTATGACGGGTATATAAATGGCGTTCTAGTTAGCTGTCAAACGTTTGTAACAGTTTCTATTAGCGACTTACAAGTTTCCCTGGTATTTGGACGGTGGTGTTTCCAACAGCCATTTCGTATGTGATGTCAGTGAACTGAATCTGCATCATGCCTTGAAAACTCCATCTGGGAAAGGAGATTTTAGAAATCCAAAATGGAACTGGGAAAATAAAAAAGACAGAAAGAAACTTACTTACATACACAAAACTTACTCGAGATCTCAAAAATTGCTGTGTTGCCACCAAATATAGCAGTTTTGTCTAATTTCCCGACAACTAGAGACTGTAAACATATAACAGTTTGTAACTGAACAGAATAGCACGTATACTTTATGTTATTGTGTGGAGATGGGAAATTACGAGCGCTAATATCGACAGCCATCAAACTCCCACTGTGAACTAAGTCTTGCTGGAGCTCAGTCTTCATCTACTGAAGATAATTCTTTTTACTGAAAAATTTAGTGACCGCATAACAAGCCGTCCTTTCACTAGTGCTTTTTTGACCAGACTTATTGTTACCTCATTTTCAGATGGAGAAACTGATGTGAAATGAAGGGTCTGACACGACCGTCACCACCCAAGACGACAGTTGCAAAGGTAGGAATAAAGAAGTTCTCCTGCCCAGGACTCGCCCAGCCTCATAACAACCAGTCGCTAATGAAAACCATCGATGTTCCAGTTCGGAGGGATGGTGGGAGCTTTGTCTTACCTGTCCAGAGGTTTTCCAGGCTTATCACAAAACCACCGCTCAGGTAGAACGATGTGAAGAGGACGTTGCCCACGAAGGCTGAGAGCTGTAACGTCGGCAGCAGCGCTGCCATCCAGAGTGCCATCGCGCGGGCGCTGTACACAGCCAGCCCACACACCAGGACGTTCCGCTGTTCAGGAAGAGGGGAAAAAAAACAAAAAAAAAAACCAACAAAAAAAAAAGCACAGAAAAATAAGTTTAATGATAGTCACAAAACCTTCTGAGATGCAGCTCAACGTGCTTATGGACTGTCTGAGAAAACTACAGGAAATACTCCCTTAGAACGCAGTCACCTCCCGATAGGGGTTGTCAGCGACACGCGAAAACAATCCACGACAGCAACTGAAATCCTCACCAGTTTTTTCTCCATTTGTGACAATTCCTATAACTAATTGTTAAATTGAGAGGATTCTTGTTACAGATTAGATGTCTTGTTTCGTTGCCGTTTTGGTGGCTTCTAAGAATTTAAGACACTCTCCCTGAGAACTGGTGCGCTTGTCAACAGGAATACTGTTCCTGACTCATCACAACTGTACGTTTTGTTCAAATTTGGTTAAACCTAGCGTGAGATCAAATTCGAGACAAATTTGGCTGTTGGTCACTTCCCCAGTTTGTCCCAAATGCAGTCCAGTTAGTAACTACTTAAATCATTGTAGAACAAAACCGTGCTTAGGATTTTCTCAAATATCTAAAGATATGTATAGAGAGTGTTATGATTATTTCTTCCAAAGAGGGTTGCTGCTATCCTCTAATACTAAGGTTGTAACAAATTACATCGATTTCTCTACGAATAATGTGCAATCTTTGTGACACAATGCAAAGAATATTTTTCTCTGGCAACCACTAATAAGCATTTAAAATCTTGTGCAGAAATGGAAACCTAAATTACAGATGCCATGGCAGGCAGAACTCATCTAACAGTGGCAACATCACAAAGAAGGGATTATTCTAAACCCTTGTGAGAAAGAGAATGTAATTTTCTTGAAGTTCAAAATTTATTTCCCAAAATTCTGGCTCTTTATACACTTAATACAATTGTTTGTCTCTGACCAGTACAGACCCAAACAACTACTGGAAATGCCACGGTTAGCATTTTGTCATTTCTGTTTTACTTTTGCTTTAGCATTTAATATGAATATTTTATTCTACAGATCAAGACATAAAATCAGACTTTCAAGGATGATTCAGCGAAGGAAATATGCAGGTATGTAAAAATGTCTAAACTCTTAAATTTGAGTTTGAGCTTTCTCAAATTTTGGCTAAACAACCCAGTGGAAGATTCTTCTTTGGCTTTTCTGGGGTGGGATCTCAGCTGTGACTTATGGCCACAGATCTAGGAGTGTGAGGTGTAAGCCATTAATGCCTAGGAAGCGAGAACGAGCCTTAGCTGACAGGCACAAAAGAACAAATTCTGATAGGAACGTGATCATTTATACAACAAGGCTTTGGTTTGTTTGTGTTCTTTAATGTTAAAGCTAGCTGTCTGTATTTCCTGGCGACAAAACCAGTTACCTTAGCAAAGAAGTACGGAGTAACAGAGTACATTCCATCTTCCAAATCGTGATAAAGCATAGCTCTTTCTGAATGACCTGCAGGGTAGGAACAAACCGGTTGGTTTCTTCCTAGGGTTGCCTTAATAAGTTTAATTTTTTCATCAATTTGGGAATTTTCTGAGTTTGATTGCTTATAACATTTACAAGAAAACTGACACTTACATTTGGCAACAACATCCAAAATCACTGTGAATGGGATCAGTGCACCTATCATGTACAACAGTGCTGTTGTGTCACGAATAGAGAGCCTCGTTTTCTCATGGCCGTAGTACAAAAATCCAATTAATAATGACATGAGAAGGGCCTCGGATCCATGGATTAATAACGTTGACAGATCTCTGAAGTCGTTGGAGACTTGACGACTAGGAAAACAGCAACGTTGACCATAAGGTGTAGTACTTACTAATGCCAGTTATATTCAGATACATTGCCCCAAAGGCTCTGATAAAATCAGTTCATGGAACTCGCTTACTTTGAGTAGGACGGGAGTTGGGCTGTCCATTTCTGTAAAGGATTTTACCTAATCAAACCTACTGAGTGCCTGTAGCTCCCTTGTGTTTCAGGTATGAAACGCTGAATGCTTGAAGGAAAGCAGTGGGGGTGGGACAGTCTGATTTTAGAGATGCAGAAGAAATTACTTTAGTTACAGAAGTCTCTCTGTTAAGGACCTGTAGCATACAGCTGATACTGGTAGTGATGTTCTGCATGTATTAAACCAGCTGATTGCGTTTCTTTTGAGTACAGAAGCATGAGACCCAACTACAATACTCATCCATGCTGGCTATAATCAGTGAAGCTGCCTGGCTTCAAAACTGAGGCAGAGATGTGAGGATGGCAGCGCCTGAGCCTTCCACGTGGCTGCCTGGGCTTGCCGAGGGTTGAGCCACCGTGCTTCGGCATGGGTATCGGGATGGCAGCACCCAAAACTGGGACGCCCGTTCCTGAGCCTGGAGGCTCCTGCTGCTGCTTAAAGCCACAGGGTCCCAGCGACGTGAGCTGGAGCTGGCTGCGTCTGGACGGAGCCTTGGGGCGGAAAGGTGGGGCCGTACCTCTGCACTTTCAGCATGCACTCAGTTCTCATTTTGTACTTTCTTATGCTTTAAAATACAAAGGGACATAATACATAGCAGTTTATGCTGGAGATAACGTTACCTTAATAATACAGTGAACTGCTTTAAGACTCCTGGTAACTGATGACTTGAATGGTGAGGCATGTTGATAGCCTCTTCTGAACTTAAATGGGACCTGCCCAAAAGAAAAAAGAAAAAAAATTGACATTAGCACAGGCTGTAGCTGCTGTTCCACACCTGCTGTATGACGTGCTTTTCTTTACCTTTGCTTGCTGGATGTGGTTGCAACGTTGTCTCTTTCAGTAACTTTCCATAAGAAATCATCGAAATCTTTGACTTTTTCTAGGAACAAGTTGGCAAGAGTATTTGCTCTTTTTCGGCTCTCCATCTCCTTTTCTGCGGTCTGTTTGTCGATACTGGTCAAATCAACTGCAAGACATTACTTGACATGAGTCCGTATGCTACAGATGCAGCAACCTTATGATGTGTTTAGAATCAGAGATTTCACTGTGAACAGACAGTAGGACCTGTGTGCATACATTAAGCTACAGTGGTTAAAACTGTATCCGTTACTTTGGGTAATTAGAGAAGAACAGATTGTTAATGTGTGTTTTGTCTTGGGAGGTGTTTCCTACCTAGTCGTTCAATGGTTCACTGAGAGATTTCTCATAATTGCTTATGATACTGTTATAAACTACTATTTTAGGTTTTTCTAAATTTAGTAGTGGCTTGAGAGGTGTGCTGAGAATAAACAGTTTGAATTTCCTTCCTGCCATGTAGCCATTTATAATCTGATGTGTGACTTTGACTTAAATCACATATTTTTTCTCCATCTGTGACATGACAGTTATCATCTTTTTTTGTATCTTACAGAGGTGCCATAAACTTTACCTGGTACTCAGAAAGCCCAAGAAGAGTATTATCTAAGGGCAACACAGTAGCAGCAACAATAGTTGACTTAGCATTATTTTTTCACTTAATAAAACCATTTTTTTAAGATCTAAACTTTTAACAGTATTTTCCCATCCTGACCTTCAGTGTAGAGTGACACTTCACATTTTGCAGATGCTTTCTGAGAACTGTCATTGCATGTTTTGCGGCTCCTTACATTTGGCTGATCAGCCAATAGGAGTTTGTCAGAAATGAGTTGCAATCTCCCCTACCTCTTCCCTTCTGCCGTGAGCTCCTGTTTCTCTATCATCAGACACACAGCCAGCATTTGTGCATTTCCATCAGGCGCCTCTTCTGGCTGTGGCATCCTCTACCATCCTGTTGTCCCATTTGCACCTCCCTGCTGCCCGTATTTCTCTTCTCTTCCTATAGGTACTGACTGTGTATGCCGCTGAATGATCTTCCACCTCCCTTTCTCATCCCTCCCTGCTGCCATCTCATAGGGGTTTGTCTCTGTAACCACAGGCTGTAGCTACAAGTTTCCCCAGGACTGCTTCACGTTCTCCATTCCCATACGGGGGTGCTGCAAGCCTTCCTCAAGGCTGCGCCTGGCTGAGAACTGCTCTGAACCATGGCGGTGACAAAAGTCTTCTTGCAGGGCTTGACACTGAGGTTAACTTCTGTTTATCTCTGCACAGCTGATAGGAGCTGATGCCGCCTGCCACATCGGCACAGCCGAAGAGATTACTCCATGGCATTGTCTGTACAAGGTTCCCCAGCCAACTTGAGTGCAACATCCTACAGGCTGGAACTGAAGCAACCTCCGTGGTAGGAGACTCCTGCCATTAGATTAACAGACCCAGATTCCCTTTGCACGTGGCAAAAACCAGAAGAGGAACGGAACTGGAACCATGCAGTTAACTTTCTTTGAGCGGAGGAATAAAAGGATTGCTGTTCTGGGCTTGGGCTCTCTCCTTTCCAATACACTCTGTTGGGCAGCACTCTCCTTTCCCATTTATTGTACCAGGTGTGCATTATTCCTCACTGTGGGAAACTTGCTTCCTGCATTTCTTGGTTTAGAAGTCAGAGGACTGGCTACAGAAAGCAATTGATCTGTTCGTCCATGTCTTTATCTGTGAAGGTAAAAGTTTCCACCAGCTAAAACATGGGAATGTGTGTGCTAAACATGTGGAAGAGTTGCTACACCTGGCAGGGTAAGAAGGAGGATTATTTAAAATTGATTTTGTCCATACCCCTTGTTTTTGTTACATTTCCTGCACTGCCAGATAAGAATCTTATTAAAAACTGAACTTGCTACAGTATTGATCTGAGTCAGTTATATGGCATTTCTAAGACAGTTACGGTTAATAAAAATCAATGTTAGCTGATATGCTGACGAAAGCGAATGACTCCCAGTAACCTTTTTTTATGGCAGTGCTTGATACTAACCATAGAAGTCTGCGGGATTGCTGTACCTTGGGCAGGGATAGCCTAGTTCAGTGAAATACTGGACCATGTCTCTAGCTGTTCCAGAATAGACAGTGAGTCCAGACGTCATCAGAAGAACTAAATCAAACAGTTGGAAGATATCTGACCGGGGCTGATGAAGTGAAAGGAGAACTAGTCTGTTTCCTCTGGCCAGTCTGGATAACGTTATCACGAGGTTGTGTGCCGTAAAACTGTCCAGTCCAGATGTGGGTTCATCAAGGATGAGTATTCCTGCCAAAGACAATAAAATTAGCTGTGGAAAGCAGCATGTTTGATTTGGAAAATATGTTCTAAGTGAAAAGGTGCTAGTGCATGAAATCTCACTGATATTTTCCTTTTTTTTAAAAAAAAATTAAAAGTCCAAAGTATACTTCATGCCAACATCACATAATATTCAACAATGGCAACTCCTTCCCCTATCTTACTGCACACAATGACCAAGAGTAATTATTTTAAATCTTATCCTGCTCCCACTGGAAACAAGCATTTTTTTAATTTCTTTTTTTTCATTGGGATGCAGATTTAGGTTCCTTATTAAATTTACATTCTTCTCTGCAGTTTTTGCACTTTACCTGTACAAATATCAGGTACATGAATATTAATTAATACAATAGTATTAGTTTTGTACCCTGTCTACTGAAATATTTTAACCTGAATGCTCAATATTTAAACCTGTTGCATTGCTCATGTGTAAATACTCACACAGCATTATTTTAGATAGCTTCTTCCCCCAACCTGTGCCCTGTTTTACACCTGTTCGCACATATATATGAGGAGATATGCATAGGTTGGGAATTTTTTTTCGTTTGCTTGGTTTTGTGATTGGTTGTTACAAACTTGAAAAGGTTTTTTTATTTTGCATTGTTTGTGTTGTCATAGAACTTAATGGCCTCAATCAGTACAAGGCAATCTCTGTACACAGACACATAGTTTCTGTGCTGGGGGGTATAACACATGTTTGAAATGTAAAGAAAGCTTTAGTTATTTTTTCCTAGAATTAGTTATTCTTTCACTTCAGTACCAGCACATCTACTCCCGAGCAGCACTTTTTACAAAAAAAGACTTCTGCTTTCCCCACAATTACAAAAATGTAACTTTATACAAGCAAAAAATTCACAGATCCATTTCCTGGTGGAAGACCTGATGGGAAATCTTGCTCAACAAGAGGCTCAGCCAAGATTATTAGTGCTTTTGATACATATCTATATGTGTATCTGTATATACAAGAGCAGATAGGGGATTCAATCCTGCAATATCAGCTGCAGATTTAGGCTCGTGTTTTGCTTCTACTGAAGATGATGGAAATTTCTAGTTTACTTGCGGCATGAGCCAGCCACGTCAGTGACTTGCACAAGACCCCAATGACTGACTGTGCAGCCAAGGAAATGACCTTCCCTGTTAACGTTGCGCATGTAAATGGGCTGGGTTGGAGGAAAGGAAAACAATCTTGATGTTCTAACAGGCCAGCAAGTAACTGGCCAAAGTAACTTCCAAAGTAACTTGTGGCCTGCGGTCAGATAAAAACCAAACCTCATACTGACACGCACAAAGCAGAGCGCTGCTGTGAGGGTGACTTCAGGCAGCTGTCAGTAGTTCGTGTGGTGGTGGTTTTAGAGAGCAGTGGGTGGAGGCTCCCAGGGGTCTTTGCCTGGCTCTGTCCCTGCTGCTCCGCTGGCAAAGGTGACAGAAGCAAAAGCGGGCTGGCTCCTGAACCACTCCATTTGCAGAATTATTACTGTCATCCTTACGTTATTATCTGTGATCAGCACTGATTTCAATTTAAGCAAATGGACCAGCCCCCACTCACTGTGCCTAACTTTGCTATAGAGAGGTAACCTCTGGCAGAGGGTGGTGCAAGACCTGTTAAGTGACCTGAGCATGAACTCCTCAAGCTGTCCGTGACTCTTCCCTAAAAGCTCATATCTTCATTTACTGCCCCATTTCCCTTGGTCTGTGGTGGGCACAAGGAAGGTGTCAGGATTTTGCTCACCCGGGTTCCAGAGCAGCTGCACACCGATGCTCACTCTCCGCCTCTCGCCTCCCGAAACGCCGCGGAGGTACTCGTTCCCTACCCTGGTGTTTGCACACTGACGCAAGCGTAGCTCTGCTATCACGTCTTCTACCTGGGGGGGATCCGAAGGGTTAACAGTCATAGATAAAGCAAGAGTACATTTACGCGTTCGTGGATAGATGAGGTTGAAAATATAATTAACGTGCTTAAAATTCATCTGGATATTACATTGCTATCTGATCAAGAGACACTTGAAAACAAATCTTGATTTTGGAGAGAATATTAAAAAAGGCTCAGCGATCAGCAATTTAGTTCTTCTTTCAGCCTCTGTAATGCTTTCTGTAGATTGTCATTTTTTATGAGCTTTGGAACAATTGCTGGTTTCTATTTTGAAAGAAGAAAAAGGTTTATAATTCATAATCTACATGAAAAAATGCCAGATTAGCTGTTCTGACTCCAAACACACAGGATCTCTTGGATAATTTCTGTCAGACACATTTTTGACAACTTTATTTTTTTCCAACAGCTTAATTACCCTTTTTTTCCTTTGTGAGTCTGAAAAAAACTTTGGAAGGCGCAGTTTGGCAACGAACAATAGCGTTTCTCTGACAGTCAGGTGGGGGAGCAGTCGGTCATCCTGCCGCACGTGTGCGATGCATTTCTTAACAAGCTGGGGAGTGCTGGGTTTGTTATTGATCATGATTTGACCAGACTTGATTTTGCCTCCATGATCCCGACATGTTATCACATCAAGCAAAGATGTCTTTCCACCATCTAGAAAAACCAAAATTGAAAATTAAATTAATTTCCAAGGGATTATTTTGAAAAGTTGATGTAGTCACAGATAGAGGACAGAAGTTCTTGTTCCCTAGCATCTTTTCTCCAGCCCTCCCTGAAGCTTTTCCAAAGCTGCAGAGACAGGATGATTTTGAAAGAAAATACTGACACCCGGCTACAAGCTCATGTTCAGGCAATCTCTCTCCTCTGGAATGGAGTACGTGGCTTTAACCTTTGTCATTTCTCAGCAGAACTGGGTAGTTGGGCGTGGAGCGTAGCTCCGTGAACTCAAGAAGCACCATCTCTTTGTCCTCTTGTTACCTCTCTCACTTTTGAAAAGTAAGTGAAAGGTGGTATCTTGCGCTGGCTGCGGGGCTGGCAACTAAACGTTCGGCAAGAGCTCGCTTTGTGCAGGGAATTGCGAATTCAGAAACGGCAGCTAGAAGAGCTGAATGACTAAGGGGCTGAATGATTATACAGACAATAAGAATCTTAATCATGATTGAAATAAAAATTATTATGACTTAAATAAGACAAAAAGTCATTTAAATAATTAAGAAAAGCTGGCTCATACTCAGAGCTAAGGTAAGTAAAACAATGAAAACAAAACCTGATCTGGAATTAAATAGCAAATGAATTTTTCGTTTTTGCTCTATAATACTGTATGTAAACACACAGAGCTGTCTTATTATGATTAGGTGTCATTTATTTCTAGTCTCCCTGTTGAAAGATTAACTCCACACTTGTTTCTTAAGATATACATTTTAAAAAAGAAACCCATCCATCTGTAAACCATGTATTGCTCTATTTAAGAGTGACATATTGATTGCCATTGACAATGTGAAACCCATCAGCAGTTTAATCCATTTTACTAAGGCATTTGATGAAATAGATGATAAACAGCTTTTAAAAATAGTTTGACTAGTTTGCTGAAAAGGGTTTGTGCTCAGTGTATGTTGCCTTACACAGGTGCTATATCTATAACTCAACACGTTATTTCATCACAAGCTTTTATTATCAGGAAAGTCTCTAAGCTACAACTTCAATTATATTAAGGATATGTGCTAAGAAAAAATTCCCGTGGCAAGGGGGAAGAAAAACCTCTTTTGTAGAAATAAAGTTAAAAATTCTTTGGCAAATATGCCTGGCCTTTGAGAGAGAGCATCTTCACTGAATCACTGTGCTAACCTGAGGTAAGAGTCTAGTGGAGACACAGCATGGGGGTTTTTAGCTCCAAAGTATGGGTACTTTTTACTTCTGTTTAACAGGTCACGTGTCTACTTCTTATCGCCCTAGATGAGCTTAGACTCAACAAACCACACGGGGTAAAGGACATCTCATCTATCCATTAGTCAGCCTCGCCCTGGAGATTAAACCAGTTCCACCAGGAAAAAAAAAAAAGTAAGAAAGCAGAGACCCACTTTAAAGCCGAACAGAAGAGGAACTGTCTTTTCTTCTCCATCAGTTTTTCTTCATTAATCCAAACGTGCTATTTTATGCTGTTAGAATTAAAGGGAATTCCTGCTTATGGCTGTGCAGGTCACCACTGATCTTTCTTATGGGATCTGGCCTCATTTGGCTGCTGTGTTACTGGGTAAGGTCTGCAGTTGGCCTGTTTTGAATCTGAGCCATGAAGCTGATTCATGTCCAGCAGAGCTGGGACTGCAGGCCACAGTTACAATACCCCACTACACCTCAGGGAACAAACAGCAAATGTGTACAAGTCATAACAACAAAATTGATTTTGAAAGTTTTTTCTCCCAGTATCATTCTTTGTTTCCTCATACATTTTAAAGAGTGTATTTAAGTGACACATTTGCCATAGTTGTTTCTCAACCAGATTTTGCCATTCAAAAGACTGCAGAGTGTTGCTCTTGGCTGTGTACGTTCTCTCTGAGAGTTGGTGAAATAATGAAATTTGGTTGCTCTTACCAGTGCTTCCTATAATAGCTAGCATCTGACCACTCTGAACTTTTAAATTCAGATTCTGGATTATTGGCACACAAGAACGGGGATCTGATTTCCAGGTCCATGGCATCTGCATCTGTGCGAGCTTTTCATACCAGGGAATCTGGGATGCCATGTTAACCTAACAGAAAGAAACAAGTCTCTTCAATTCAGACAATAAAATATTCAGCAATAAATATCTTCAAAGTTGTGATGTTACAAGTAGAGAATATGTTAAAACAATATTGTTAATCTTCAGAAAAACATAGAAGAAAGTTCTTTTACAGCCAGATATGGTTTTTGTGCATTGTTTCTTATTCTGTTAATCACTGAATCTGTCTCTGTCCTCTGTTACTTTGGTACTTAATATTGTTATTGTAAATTTTAAATGTTTAAAATTTTTAATATAATTTGAAATTATGCAAAATTGAAAATTGTGAAATCTTCAGATACCATGGTGGCACAAAGGGAGATCAGAAATTTCACTGGTTCCCTGAAATCCTGCTTGTTAGTCATCCTCTCTTTGTTTCCCTCTGCATACTCATTCTTGCCAGCAAGGACTCCCGCTATCCCTAGCTAGACAGAAGGTCCCTCTGCCCCAGCCCTCAGAGGAATATTTTGGCTCAAGACTGAGAAAAAACACAGCCTAGGAGCAGATCTCTCTTCTTGTCTTACCCCCTGGCTTTACTAGATATATTTACAATTGAGAATTTTGCCTGCTGTCAATATTGCAGCCAAGAGCACAGTTCTGCTCACAAAATGTCCGTGCATTTGACTGTGCAGTAGTCATGTGAACTTTGTTGTGAACTCTAGCGTTCTTTGGCTTTTCAAATGGCTTGCATTATAGAAATAGGCATTGCTGGATATGCTCCCTGCTGAAGGGAGGTATGTAAATTACAACTTTTACCTGGTAGTTGAGTTCTTTGACCTCGAGAATGTTTGATTTTCCGCTGTATGTGAAATACAGACTGTTATCTTCTTCAGAGCAAAAAATAGTGTCCTGGGCCTTGGTCTGCAAAAGTTATTAGGTTAATTACAATAGTTAATTACAATACCTAAAGTGCTGTTAAAATCTGAGTTCAAAAAAGGCAAAGCACAAAGGGAGATGTATTTTATGGGATAGAATGGTATTTTTGATGAATTAATGTAATGCAAAAGTCTGAAGGGTTGAAATGAGTTATCTGTTAATCAGTGTGAAAGGTACTTTGTTCTAGCGGCAGGTATGAGGGCCAAACATGCTGTGCTATGCTCTTCTATTTGCTTTCAGTTTGAATGGGATCACTTTCAAAACGGAGACAAATGTCATGCCACTATAAAGAGATAGGACTCTATTTCTGGTTTTGAGGAAAAAATGTACTGCTTCAGCAATGTTAGTCTACTGAACCGCAATGGTGCATATTGAAATTCCCAAGTTACAGCAGCTAAAAATTGAGGTTCACTGGAAGTATGTTCATTATGGTATTCCACATGGACTCGTTAACTTGGAGGCTTTGCGAACAAGTAGGTGTGCAACCATGAGTACAGTCTCTTTTTCTCCTCCTCTGTTTTTTAAATTCAGTTTGTCAACTGGAACATAGTGTTCTGAGATACCAGTTAAAATAACAGAGTCTCTGCTTGCCTTGGTTAACTTTTTGCATATAGCTGCAATTAAGAAGTCTTTGCTGAGGCAGCTTTCTGGCTTTGGGTTTAATTCTATGTGCATGCCTGTAGTTTTTACTCCAGCCAGCCGTATCTCTCGCACAGCCTCGTGCCTTTCCTACGAGTCAGACTGGTACCGTAGCCAAGGCAAACGTATCTGTTCCCAGCGCAACGGACCCTACCCGTGCCTGTGGTATCTTTGGCAGATGGTGACCACAGTCTTTGTGTGCACCTCCCACCCTCACAGCAAGCGAGGCTGATCAACCTCTTCCGCCTAGATACACAGCGGAAAGCAACGTGACACCAAGCAGCCTGAAAAGCCCCGTTAGAGCCCTCCAAGCTCCCTCTGCTGCCAAAGCACTCCGCCCGCTTGCTTACGTTGAACTTATTATTTTAAAAAAAATCAGCAAATGTAGGGAGCCGGTTTCACAGCGTGAAGGCATGTTCTGGGAAAGCCAGTCCAGGCCATGCTCGGGGACTTTCTGCTCCATCCTCGTGTTTGCAGACCCCCTCCGCCAGCCCCGCCGCCGTGGCAGGCCGGCCCCTTCCATGGCGCCTGCCTCCAGCCAGCACTGTCCAGAGAGAATATCTCAGTGGCTTCCTTCATGCTGGTATCTGGAGGTCTTGCTCCCTGCCGTGGTTTGGCTGTGGGCTCTGTGGAAGGCGTGGAAATCCTTCTCCTCTTGGGATTGAGCTCAGCCCTTTCCAGGCGCCCTCAGCGCAGCACCATTTCTGCTGGCGCGCTGCGTCTCTGTGGCTGGCGTGACCTCGTGGACAGGGAAATACTCCCCTGTTACAGGGACAGTAACAGCTCGGGCTAAAGGTACATCAGATAGCGGCTTCAGCTCATCGCCTCTCCGCTGTTCTCCGC